TGGGTCAAAATGAAGCAGAAGCCCAGAATTTGTATTAATATACCTACCTAAATAAGTATCATATTTATGTTTATATTTATAAACATAGACTGACTTGACTTGATTTGCAACCATTTCGTTACGCCACTAAACGAACGAGTCATCAAAATGCCACGGGCCCCCAGTTAGGGCGTTTACGAAATTTATAAATAACTACCTTGCTTTGGCTGTAGTTAATAAAAATAATATAATTCAACTGTCGTGGTTCAGTGGCTCGTATGCCGATTTCAAGGTATCGCTATCATTGAGATACCGGAGGAGAAAATAAACTTTTCTATACTGTCTCGGGTCTGGGTGTTGTGGTACCTACATTGATTGTTTCAGATTGTCATAATACTATTGCTTAATCTATTTAATTTGGGATCTGAACAATATATGTGATGTTGTCTTATATTTATTAATAATATCATATTATATATTATGCAATAGTGTTGAGAAAACATGTAATTGCATAACATTTTATAACAGACAAGTAAGGACAAAGTATATTATTCCGAAAATAGTTCTTAAATACAAATAAATAGGTTACATATTTATAGAATATTAATATGTTTTCATTCTTAATTTAATTTAAGACTGATAAAGAATGCCCAACGCTTTTGATCGATTATGTATAAAGTATCAAATATTACCTCTATTAGGTAACTACACTAATATTATAGAGAAGAAAGATTTGGTTGTTTGTTTATTCGCATCGAATAGACTCCGAAACTATTAGATAAATTTACGATAGACACACAGGTAACATAGGCTATAATTTACCCAGACGAAGTCGCGGGAAATATAAAAATGTTATCCGCAAATATATAGAATTAAATGTACATAGCTAGGTGATAAATTGGATATTCTGTACTAATAAAGAATGAATAATTTATTTTGTAAATTTGTAAAGGGTTGCAATCGACTTAGTGAATTTGATCAACACTTAGGTGATGTGTAATGCACACAAGTTACAGGTTGGACCCATTTTAATCGTCATAAAAAACACAACACTAGAGATAACTTTGACAATAGAAAATATTATGAAATATCATAGTTGCTTATTATCGAACAAACATAAATTACTTACGTTCCAATCTTATATCCGGATATGAAGAATATTATCTCTATAGACACTTAATATATAGTTTAAATTACGCCCTTAATGGGCAAACAACACAAACACCAACTAATTTTTGTAACGTAAGCGTAGCGTACACAGACTTAGCCAAATGCACAGACGAATAAGAGATACTACGCCAAATGAATGACGCACGTATTGAAGCAATCGTTCATTTGAACGAGGAAGGAAAAGTTGGGAACTACAGATTGAATGAATGACATGCGTAGATTCCATTCAGTAAACATAGCAACGAATATATATAGACATAGTATACAGCAGTATAACAACTAAAACGAATTTGTTTTGAAGCATAGATTGTAATAATTCCAACTTGATAAATGGCCGCTGTTGCGCTGTTATCATAGATTTATTATTACCAGATACTCAATTAACGCTTGGAAGTCTCAATGAACTATTCTTAAGCGGATAATCTTACCCAAGTACACCATTTAATTATATAACCAACATTTTTGTCATGGATTTTTTAAACTGACGTCAAGTTATTTGTGTAACTCTTCCAAAAAATTAGTAGCAACGTAGCAACAAAAGATTATGATATCATAATAAATACAAAAATGATTTAACTGTTTGTAGTGTGCATAAAGGTGTTCTCATATTTCGGTTTTACTGCCGATATTTATCATATTTCTTTTGAGTGATTACAGACTTTATCTGTTTCTAAGTACTTGGAATGTTATGATAACGCTATCCACAACGCAAAAATTATTTTTACTAGTACCACCATTATTGTTGGCGTGTTCTAATTCAAGGCCGTTGCCAAATCCAATGTCAGTTCTATGAGTCATCCGCTGGGGCCGTACGAAGCGTATCGATTATAATATTCTACCACGGTTGTAAACGGCTTGATAAATCATTCGAATTCGGTCGTATCCAATTGATATGATGTGACGTATTGTTGAATTTAAATCCACTGAAATTTCCTAGTCGGAAGCAGCTCGATTGTACTAATAGAAAGAATGCAATTAGCATAATCATAAATTTATAATACATCTGCATCTGAATTCATTGAGTGTTAATGAATTCAGAACTAAAGCTCATAACAGACGGTGAAGGTGCTATAATGTAACATTTATTTTAATCGGTTCAGAAATAAAAAAAATATATAAATTTAAAGTAACGTGTTCGTGTTAGTATGAAATGTTTTATTAAATTTTCGTGTTTGGTGTATTGATCATCATTAGCTTCTTTACAGCCAAACTCAGGCTTTGTTTAATAATTTTTGGTCACCCATCTTGTGACGAACTTTTGCGAAAATTGCTTAGCAACAAGGATCGCGCGTAGCCGCGCCTATCCGTTGCGCTAACGAGCTACCTATTGATATTGTCTGTAAAATGATATCAATTTAATTTCAATTTACCTATTAATTTCAAAGAACTTTGATACATAATCATTTATATTAACAACTATTTGTCTATTTTAGAAAGATATTTCAGAAAAACATTATATTTTTATATGATGACAAATAAAATATAAGTTTCCAAAATGTTGATTACTCAAATGTAAGTTAACTTCAATTATATATGAACAATCATATTAAATAGGGTTCAGCTTATAATGAAGTTGGTATACGATTACGCGATTAGGAGATCAAGCTAAACGAGTGTTCCGCTGCTGCAATTAAGCACCGAGTAGTTTACAGTGAACGTACATAAGGATTTCGATAGTAAATCAGGTTCACGTCGTAGGGACCAGCAGTGATGGTTGGCAGCCACCCCCTCATTGCTTGGTCTTATCTGTCTAGGAGAGGCTCTCGATTTACCCGAGTTTCTCTCATTTTCCATCTGCGAAGGGACCAAGGTCTAATACTTGAGTGTCCCGGGTTTCATGTTCCGGCAGCTCACTGTTGGGTTCACGGAGGAGACTTTTACTCACCCCCTCTTGCTTGCCAGGTAACAGGGACTATGAAGTGAATAATATAAAGACATCTCGAGATATTTAATTTCTTTTTCCCTTTTTACACTTTCTTGTGTTACTCTTTTTTAAACATACAAATTGCTTTAGGTAGGGGAAAGGAGAACAAGATGGAAGAGGTAACTTTGTGTAGTAATAAAAATAAATGTACTTGGCTTAAGTCTTTTATTTAATTTTTTCTTGAAAGGTAATTAAATAATGATAACAAATTTCTAATTAATAGACTCTAGTCTAGTAAAGAACGAGAATATATAACACAAGTTTAAGTTTTAATACATAAAATACAACCATTTATAGCTTACGTACTTATTTACAACCTAAAATTTCCATTGCCCGTATGCTGGTATTATAATTACATCAACATATCTACGAGTATAACCTAATATTTTTTTGCTTTGGTTATTGCATTAATCTGTACACTCGATTATACATATTTACAATCAAAACAAAATAGTCTTAGTTCTAACTTATCTTATGCAATCAAAGCAGAAAAGTCTGACGTTTTTGTAATATTTTCCTAACAAATAAACACATAGCTTGTACATTTTACTGATTGGTACGATTCGGACTAAATATCAATCGTAAATCACACCCAGCTGTACTCCATTCATTATAGCATTAGACTGAAGTTAAATAAGGTTCTTTTTATGGTATACTTTGTGACAAAATATCAATAATCATGTTTCTCTTAAGAGTGACGGCTAATTTGCTACATATCCACTTAAATACCAGCTGCTATACTTAACTGATGTCACTTAAGCTATCTATTAAACAAATTTATGAGTATTTGACTCACTTAAATGATTTAATAACATTTACAATAAAAACTGTTCATCATAAAGAACCTAAAGATGCAGGGTTGGATAGTTTCGGCACGATTCTCATGTCACTATAATTCTACCAAATTTAAAACGCTGCCTAATCCCTTCAAACGTTTCGGCAGTACAACTTTTTAATTTTGTCAGACTATGATGTATTCATAATTGTCAAAATACGTAATCTGGGATTGTTTTCTTTCTTGTTATTTGCCCGTTTTCCGTTATTGAGTTGTTATTGTTTTATTTCTGTTTTGATTTTGTTGTCAAGTTGAGTTTTGTTAAATATGGACGAGGCCGGTGCAGGCCCGAGTGGACTACAAAAATTACGCTTTAAGCCCCAACCTTTGACATTTCAGGAAGTTTTTCCAATTTCTTCATCAATAGTCTAATATCTGATTAAATTTTATAAAGGTAATAATAAAAAAATCTTTTTGTTTACCTTTCTTTCCTGGGCATAGATATAACTTACTACACTTACTTTCTTAAAATGCTGGCCTCATCTCAGCCCCGAGGTATCACAAAAAATGGAAAATTGCCCAGCTCTTTCAGACTACAAAAACGTTCAAAGTTTCAACAAAACTATAATATTTATTTTTTAAATTTATCTTTAAAATAAAATGTTCTGCACTGCTGCTTCTATGACCCTCTTTTTTTCTAATGTTATAATGATTGGAGTATAGGTGTCTCTCTGTGTATAGCGGCACCCGCGATAGATCAGATATTTTGTTCATAACAAGAAGTTTCCATTCTGCCTACTCCTTTCATCTTGCGCTCACTTCCCCAACGTCAAGAGCCGGAAGGATGAGTTACCAAAAATTTATAATCTTGAGGTTCTGGCCCTCATCTGCAGTCGTTCACGCAGATGAGGGCCAAGACCATTGGCTTAACGTGTCTTCCGAAGTACGGATGAGCTCAAGATTATAATCCACACTGAACCCGTGTGGGGGTCATTACCCATTGTCCATATTCAATCGATTGCATCCGTAAGCCTAGCAGCGGGGATATTAATAAGCTAATAATGATGTTCTTATTATTAGCAAATGACATTCTAAATCAAAGGCATAGAAATCTCTGCCCTGAACGCATATCAAGTAAATTGCATTTGAATAAAGAATAATATTTTGACTTATTTATTTACAAACCAACAGCGTTACAATATCGTACTAAAATAAGTATAACATTGGATACTAAGGCTAAAAACAGGTTTCTTATTTACAACTTAAACGTAACTCCTATAACAGATAATGGGTACTCGAACAGAAAGAAGCAAATTAAAATATTGTAATAGTAAATATAAGATCAGGTATTTTTTCAATTACACTTCTTTACATGTTTGATAAATAACCATATGACTTTGTATACTTAGATTGTATAATATTAGTTTAATGTGATACAATATAACCTGGCAAACTATATTATACAAAAATGTATGTTTCTTTGACATATTAAGCAGGTGATCATTGCATTAATACGTAAAACAGAACTACTCAAACCTTATGGTCTAATTTTCACAGTTGATAAACTCTTCGAAAAACAAATTGATTAAATACTAAAAAAAGACTTATTTGTTCTTTAGATATTTTCCGCTCTGTGCTCCTCTTGCTGCTCTTTGTTGGGCAATAAAATAGGTATTTCCTCTTCAAGATGCTTTTACTCAGTGGTTAGATAGATTAGTTTGGTCAACAGGTCTTTTTCCAGTTGGTTTTTTGACAGCTGGATAAAACAGAAAAAACAAAGTAACAGATACAGATTGTATCAGTTTTAATCTATGTAAACAAATCTCATATGCACGCAGTAGATGCCAATATCCAAGATATTATGTGAGTATCTATGATAAATATTTGACTGTCTAATATGTCTCTGAATCATTTGGACCGCCTTGATACATAAGGCCAGGACGACGCCAATTAGAGTTGGTATCTTCATAAAAATAATCTGTAGTTGGCAAATCGCAATGACGGAAGTGCGTCCTGATGACTTTTGAAGGATGAGACAATATCATGTTTTTCAATTCCTCATCAAAACTAAAATAGTATTCACCGTTCCCTGAATTTATATACATATAACGAACAACTCCGATGACAATAAGGTAACATGCCTTAATTTCTGTAGAATCTTCATCAAGCAGCATATGTTTTAAAGTTTGATTTATGACTGAGTATGGGAAACTGAGCGATATAAATGCATCCATCATTGATTTTGATGCCAGCGGCCAAAGAAAAGGATACGTGGATATTATGTTCTCTTGTACAAAATATTTTAAACAAGCTTTCCCAAATTCTGGTGCTATACAAGAATAAATTTCTCCAAACTCAGGACACTCGTATTGGTAACGATAATATTTACCTTGATCCATGGTTTCACAAATGCTAAGGAATTTTTCAGTATTAGAAAATTTTTCAAGCAATTCTATAAATATCACTGTAATATTCCAAAGTGTTGTTATATTATATTCTTTTTCCAATAAGAATGATTCCGTAATGCTGGTTTGTATTTTTTTGAATAAATGCGTTGGAACAACATATTTTTGAGTTTTTAATAATCGCTTTGAAACATTTAAGGAAAGGCTTTCCAAAACTTTCTTAAACTTCTCTCTGTGATCCTGCCACACTGTTGAAAAACGTTTCAAAACTGGCAGAAACATTTTCTCAAATTTTATTTGTTGACTTTCAATACTATCATTGATCGTCAAATATCCTGTAAACGCTCGTAAAATATCATCACGACAGTTACCAGTATAATAATTCTCATCAATTAAATAGTTATCAATGGCATCTACCAATACTTCTTCCATAAAACTAATCTCGAATACTTCAACGTTAAATCTCATGTATGAAAAGAATTCCTCGAACAATTCTCTCGTCTTCGACAAAGGGTGTGATTTCAAATATTGGAAACATTTCATGTAAAATTTATGCTTCACAAGTTTGGGTACCTTACTAAACTTGTCTGCTTTTGTTTTGACAGATGCATAAAATTTTGGGGTTAAATTATCAAACAATAAACTTAAAAGGTCCCAAATTTTTTCTATCATTTTTTGTTCTTCTTCTCTTATTAAAAGTTTATAAGTGTGTTTGAATAAACCACATTTTACAGAATGGCAGGCTTCATTCCATACAGATAGGATAATTCTTTTAACTTCTTCTATTTCTAAATTTTTTAATAAATATCGTATTCCTAGCTTCTGAATACCACCAGGCTCCACTAAAAAATTTAATATGTTTGTAGAAGCTTGATCGTACCGTGTAGTAAGGAGAATATCGTAAAATAGCGAACCTGTAAACCTAAAGTAATCTCCTTTTGTGTACAAAAACACAGTATCGAGACTAGCCGTGGGGCGTAATAGATGAATACATCGACAAATATTTTTCCTTATGTTAAATGGTATAGTACTAGTTTCCTCTTTCCAATTTATTTTATCAACTGTTGGTACATATTTTTCTATAAGTTTCAAAGATTCCCTGCGAGGAAGCAGAATAAAGAGGCTTTCTATACAGGCTTTGTTATTCGTAGTTTGAAGCAATCTCGTGAAACATAAGTCGGTTAACGGCTCAACTATGGAACTTGGCCAGTAGACCCGCAGCTTGCCCAGTGTTCGTCGCAACGATCGTGTGTCGTTCGCAATTATCATTTCAATCTTGGTCTGGTCTCCTATTAATATATCTGGATAATATTTTAATGTGTTTAGATAAGTTTGATCACTCTGGTATAAGACCAAGTAATCTACAAAGAATTGTTTTTTAACACTGTTGTGTTTTCTATACAAATTAGTAAATGCACTGCAAACAAGAGAATCTGTGCTCCATGAATTATCTTTTATGAGTTTTACTAACTCACGAATTTTATCCATTACTGATGGAAACTTTTCGATGGTTTTATTCCAGGTCTTCAAAAATCTGAGGAAATCGTCGCATATATTAATCAAAGTAACCAAATCATTTATATTTTCAATTTCTTTATTAGATAATTTTCTTAATACGTGTTTATACAAGTATGTAAACACCTTATCGCTTTCTTCAGGTGCTAATTTTTGATGGTAATTTGTAAAATAATCTAATGATATTTTCTTATCTATAACTTCAGGTATGCGTTGATCATGAAGAATGTTATGTAAAATAATAGCTGGAATACAGTAATTGTAAATGGTTGGGTCAATTATCTGTCTATCGTCATAAATACCCATATTTAGGAAAATCTTGTTCAGCATATTCCACGTAGTTTCATCATATTTGTATGTTTTTGTGACCCTTACTAAGATTAAGCTTATATGTTCATCGTAAATACTTTTAGTGTGATCCTCTTGGTAGCAGCGTAGTAGTGTCTGTATATGTTGCATATTCCCAGCAGCACATGTCACTAGTACTCTGATAGCCCACGGACGAATACTTGCGTCTATAATGGTATTTGTGGATGATAAATCTATCATTGTGCCTTTTATTTTATGAATAGCGATTTCGAAAGGAACATAACGATACCACGAATAAAAATTCTCCTTTGTCTCATCATTAACTTCAGATTTATCATCACTTATAATAGTTTCTTTTTCACTGTTCAAAAATAATTCTTGTACAACTTGAAACCGTTCTTCCATTGGTATGCGTTCAACTATATGTTTCATATACTTATACTTACACCATGAACGTATTTTATCTCTATCACTGTGTAATTGTTTTGTTAAAAAAGTTTTTATCTCTTTAACTTTTAAATGTTTCGCAAATTCAGGTATGTCAATTATGTAACAATATTTGTGAAAATTCTCTTGAATCACCTCTGGATATTTATCCATCAAAAAACGTGTAGCTTTTTTCCCAAATTGAGGTATATACATCTCTTCAACAGAATTCAGGATTTCCAAATATTCTTTTATATCGGTGTACAATAATGATTTACCACTTTTTAGCCAAAGGTCTGAAGGACACGTTTCACAACAAGTTTTTAAAATTGCCAATGACTTTCTGCACAAACGATGCATTATACTAACGCTTATTTTTTTTCCTTCTTCTTTCACGATACTAATAATAAGAGTTTCAGAACAATGAGGTAACCATTTTTGGGCAATTTCGAAATTTGATTTAAAATAATTGAAAAATTCGTCAACGCGCTTAGCATTTCTCAGATTGAGTCTTATGGAATGGAGTAGTTTATTTTGCGCTTTTTTGATCATTTTGGGGAATAGCTCTTGATGTAAGTAAGATGGGTTGATTATGTGCGCATAGTGATCATCGGAGAAGAGCCATTCGGAATGCCGAAGCGCGTAGGACACGTAGAACATGTCGCTACATTTCAATATGTCTATCAAGTAACGCACGTCTTGCCGTAAACACGCAACATCTATTTTAAATAAATTATCGATGTCGTTATCATCGTAATCAATGCTTTTCAATTTTAATTTTTCGTTGGCTGAAGCTGTATTTACGAGTATGTTATAATTCTCATGTTTTTGTCCCAGAGTTATACCTTCTAGCACCAATGCCGACATTTTGATTTACCTGAAAACAAATATTTGTTTTTTTTTATTTTCCACTACAGAACTCACATAAGGTTCTAAAGGTCTCTCCTAAAGTACTTTTTTATTGCGCTACCTAGCATCTATAGGCTTATGGGGAGTCTACTGTGAACTTTATCGTTATCAACTTCAGTACCTCTAGTACAAGATTTTATAGTTTTCGAAAACTAATAACGTTACCATGCATTTCACAATAACGCCTCTAACGGAAACCATAATGAATTAAAAACGGCAAAACAAGTCAAATTTTAAATTGTATTTGATGACATTGTTTTGTGTATAACTTATACGGGATACTGAAAATTGGCACTGGCACTGGCAATTGTCGTCTAAACTGAAAACTATTGGTTTATTATATTTCATCAATTTTGCATTCACAATGCTATACTTAAAAATATTCTTAATAAAAAATGATTTAAAAATGCACTTTGTCCCTGGCACTCTGAGATAGGACATGAACCCATGACCTTTCGCAATCCAGGCGACTGCTCTAACCACTGAGCTGCTAAGGACCTTTTTTTTTGACGCTGAGAAATGCGTTACGCATACCCGTTTCACCCTGCGCTAGCCCCACGGGTTATGTGGGACTCTCCCCTGCGGACCAACCTCTGGATGGGGCTGGTCAAAGAGCAGGGGTATACGCACTAAAACTCAGCGATGTCCCTCACTGCGGAGTGATACCACGGCCTCTCAAAAAACCGACGTGAAGCAACGCTTGCGTTGTGTTTCGTCGTGTGAGTGAGGGTACCGGAGGCCCAATCCCTCCCTATTCCCTTCCTTAACCCTTCCCTCCAAGGCCGGCAGCGCGCTTGTAGCCCCTCTGGTGTTGCAGGTGTCCATGGGCGACGGTAATCACTTACCATCAGGTGATCCGTCTGCTCGTCTGCCCCCTATCCCATAAAAAAAAAACTTCCCGCGCATGAGGGAGCTGCTCAGGACCTTACAGGACTGACGAATTTTTCAAGCACTTTTTACTTTTCCGTTACTACAGAGCGTATTTTCATCAATGTTCAAGCAATCCACCCAAACAGCCGAAAGAAATATTTTTACAAATACTTAAACTTTCAATAGAGATGAACATTTGTTCCAATTACTATATTTCATCAATTTTTCATTCACGAGACTATACTGAAAAATATCCTTTCGGTTTACTAAGTCGTTGGTAGTATGAATTAATTTTGTTATCATATCGTTGACAAACTACACGTAAACGTGAGTTTATTTATTTGTAACCTACAGCGTGACAAAAGTTTAAACATAGACATAATAACATAAGTAAGGCTCATAACATAACAGAATTATATTTAAATTAACTTCATAATAAGCAGTATCCATTAAAAGTGCCCGTTAAGTTATAAATTATTTAAAACTAGACCAGACTAAAACTATAGATGTGTACCTGACGAATGTTTAAAAGTGAGAAAGTTTAAATTTTAAAGAAGATAACTCCGAATTCAAATTAATAAAATTTGTGATTTTCATTTGTTTTTCTTACTGTCAAAATCCGCACCAGAGTCGTTTTATGTTTCAAATTGAAAACATGCAAGACTTAATGAGATATCAATGATAAAACATAGTAATTATTTCCATTTCTGATGCAGATAATATCAACTTACTATTTAGTGAAACTTATAATCCGAATAATAAAAGTACATACTCAATTTACTAGAAACTGGTGAACATTTGTCTGTATGGTTTAAATGACAATGAAATTATCAATTTTTTATTTCACTACCCTAAAAGATTATATAAAGAATTTGTCGTTTTAATGAAAATAAAATACTTCCTATGTTAAAAAAAAAGAGAAATCACTAATAAGCACCTCACTAGATGGCGACTCTACCAAAAGTTGCTTTTTGCAGCAAAAGAAAGTCATTTCCGCTCCTTTTAACTAATATATTGAAAAACCGAAATTTGCCAAGTTCGAAACTTAGAAATAAATAGAAATACGAAAAGTACTAATAGAATATGAGTTGTTTATTGAGTTTTGAAAATTAATTTACTTTTATACATGAAAGAAAACCGGAAGGGTTGTCATGGATGTACTAGGGTTTAAAATCATTTGGTAACATTAAGTTTTATAAAACTTTACTTATTACTACTATAAACTATAAAATATACATACTATACATTTACATTATTGTAATACCACCTTACTTCAACTGATGGGTGTACACGAATAATTTCAATAAGTTCATTATACATTTTTGTATATACATTTAGTTGATTTTCGTCAATTGCACCATCAAAACCCACATGTTGTAATATGTGAATGGCAATACAGTATAATAAAGGTTCTTTATTGTTAGTAAGTAGCCATTTTGCAAAATGTAATTTGAATTTTTTATCTAATTCAAACGTTGCAAATACCTCTAAACATATTCTAGATATAAGCACGTGAAATGAAGCACAATCCATTAATATGTTCCTAAAATATTTAAACCAGGCTTGCCCAATCGTATTTACAAATCCTAAATAAATTGTATCCCATCCCATTAGTTCCGGATATTCATCAACGAAAATGTTCTCTTTCATTTCCAAGTTAACATTTAATATTTCCAAGAAAATTACATATATATTCCAAGTCATTATAACATAAAGTTCCTTTTCCAAATCAAAAACATTTTCGAGTTTGTTTCTAATACTAGTGAATACCCGTACAGGTACGGCATGCTTGAATCTAGTGATTGACCTAACTAAGCTTCCCGCAAGAACATCTAAAATGGTGTACAGTGTATGTTTCGAACAACGAGGACTGCACCAAGAGTCATGACAATACGGTACCTCCCAAGACGCAAAACAACGTTCCATTATTGGGATCAGAATTTTCTCATACCTCTTTATTTGTATGTCCTCGCAATTACAATTTAATAAATATCTAGACAAAATAGTAGAACTGTACTCGTCCAATACATGCTTTCCATCATTAAAAATTCGCTCACTTACAACTTTCATCATTTCGTTTTCTACAAAATCAGGATCTAGTTTATCAAACACTTGCAACGCGTCATAACTTACAAGAAAGTCATCATATTTAGGTGTTATTCCAGTATCTTTTAAAAAGGAATATATTTTAATAAAAAGTAAGGGACGGCGACTGATCTTATGAACGACTTCAAAAAACCTACTAGATACTTTTTCTTTTTCGGAAGGTAATAAATCATCATAAAGTTTCCGAAACAAATCCCAAACTTCTAAAGCGGTCGATGTATCTATTTTTATTTTACAAAGAAGAGTCTTCAGCTTCATTACAAGTGGAAATTTCATTTTGTGGTAACCATCAAATGAGTTATTCTGCATAACAGAATGAGCTGTACGAGTAGCATATTTATGTAGATACCCATAGTTTAATAAAACTAAAATGATGCTCCAGAACTCATTCGGGCTCTTTGGTATAATATACCGGAAGTATTCTTCTTTCGTATATATTTTCAAATCCCCTTCGTCTACCACCGACGGACGTAGCAAACTCAAATTCTTTACTATATTTTGACGCAATCTGTTCACGTTGTTATTTTTCTCGGAATTCGTTTCATCTAGAGCGTATATCCTTATGAAAATAGGCATGACTTCTTCGTAAGGTAGAAGTATAAATAGATTTCTCACGATAGTTTCATGTCCAACTGATTGTTTTAAGTATTCTACACATTTTTCAACCCATTGCTGAATCATCAATTTTGGCCAGTAGACCCTCAACATCCGAAGTGTTCGCTTTAGAGAAATAGAGCCCTTGAAACACTTTGCGATCAGTTCATCTTTATAGCGTAACAACAGACTGGTGTCATGTTTAAACGCATTTAAACATGTCTCGTCACTCGGGTAAATGATTAAGGACACATCGTGTAACTGCCTCATAAAAGATTTATGCACTTTATAGAATGTAGATATATCAATATCCCATCCATTATCAATCTTCGTCTTAACAGTATCACGGATAATAGCAATTACTACGGGATAGTCATCTGGGCCTTTATCCCAATTTTTTAGAAGCACCAATGTCTTTGTAATTAGTTCTACCATCATACGCATCTCTTCTTCATCTGCAATATCGTTCTTGTACACTTTCATGAAACACGACTCAAATACATAATTCAACACTTGCCGCTGTTCGTCAGCATTTAGCTTACAGCGATAATCAAGAAAGCTTTTGAAATCGACTCTATTACAAAATGCTTCTGGGATCTGTTTATCATGAATCAACTTGTAAACCACCATGACTTCTAAACACTTTGGAATATCTGCGTTTGTGTTTGCATAGACATCAATACTCGTGAATATATCATCAATAATAGACCAAATGCGTTCGTTGAATTTGTTTAAGTTTTTAGAAGTAAGTAGCTTATTCAGAAACTGAATTTTATCCTCGTTTGAATCATCCCTGTGTTTTATCTGATAATAATCTAGTAATGTTTGTATGTGTTGAGTATCGTCTCTGGCGCTAGATACTAAAACCTCTAGAATGGAGTTTCTTTTATATGAAGATGAAGATCTAGTAATTATACTCTGTAATTCAATAAAAGCCCTGTCGAGTGGTACATACTCATAGCACCTGTATCCTAACACATCTTTTAAATCTGCTAAATTAGACGCACTCATAGAATTCGAATCATTTTCTTTTTGCTCTAATATTTTTTGTATAAAATTTAATCTGTTTGGTTCGGGCATGTATCTTAAGAAATGTTTTAGATTTTTATATTGTTTTATAAAATCACTTTGAATGTGTCTTGATAAAATACTTTCAATGTCCTCTTTTTTCAAATATTTAACAAATGTCGCCAAATCAATGCCGTAATGATATTTGTCAATATTCTCAATTATGTGTTCAGGATATTGTTTCATTAAAGATCGAGTAAATCTTTTCCTAAAATTTGGATCCCTGTCATAATATTTCCCTGAGTAAACAAAATCTAATATTTCCTGAGCTTCATCACGTTCCGCTTGTAATAAATATCTGTAAAATGCACGACTGTCGC